TGCGTGAATCTTGACTCGTGACTGTTCTTGAAACGTGCTGATGAGTGCGCTCAAACGTCTCAAACTGGTTCTTGGTGATGCGATGAGCCTGTCGTTCCTTATCGAGAAGATCTCCAAGCTTCCGAGACTCAAGAGCATGGGTTTCTAGCAAACTATCGCGTTGCTTAATCATGCGTTCTTTTTCGAGGAGAGAGCTCCTAGTAGTATCGAGCTCACGGACGGTAGTCTCCAGTTCACGTTGAAGCGTAGCAATGGACTAGAAACCGCTTAGTTGTGCCCTTCGCATACACCGTGTTAGAAGGGGGAAGAATCTCACCTGTAGCAGACTGGATCGAGTGCCATTCAAGTCTCCAAGAGCCTCTCGCAAGTTATTCTCAAGTTCCATGAGTCTTTCCTTCCATTGCGTAGCCTCTACTTCTCTATTTCCAAGGCTCTTTCGGAGGAGCCTAGCCTCTTCCTTAGCCGAGGATGCTTCCCGGTTGAGGTCATTTTGGACTTGCTGCGCTTCTGCTTTCTCGCGGGTAGAAGTCAGCTCCCACTGCTTCCGCTCGTCAGCGAGTCGCTGATCCAGCTCTTTAACCCGGTCGCGCTCATTTGCTATTACTTGTTCAGCGTTTGCAACGGCAGCTTCGAGGTCGCCAATCCGAATCTTATCGCTTTCTTGCTCCTCCCGCAAGAAAGCAATTTCGCCTTGGCTGGACTCCTGTTGCACGCCGAGTCGTTGACCCTTTTCGTTGGCTTCCAAAAGCTGAGCTTCCAAGTCCTCAAGTTCCTTGCTGGAATCTGTCAGCTCTTGTTCAAGCTGTTCAATCCTCTTTTGTGTCTTGGCTTGTTCGTCCTCGAGTTTAATGAGGGAGTCGGTCATCCTACGCATCTCCTCCTGAAGGGCTTCAAAATTCTCTGAACGATCTTGAAGATCCATTCGCAGCTTATTGATCTCATCACTCTGCTGGTCGGCTTCGTTCTCCAGCTCGTCGATAACGGTCTGGGCCTCTATGCGTAAGTCGTTGAACCTACCCTCCCACGCAGTTTGATCCTCTAATGCTTCGTCGCGTTCAGCCTGGATTATCATCAGATCATTCATCGTGTTATCCAGATCGTCCTGAATGGCAGCAATCTGTTCTTCGGCTTGTCTTTTACCCTCCGTCGCATCTTCTAGGTCTGCCAGATATGTCTCCACATCTCGCTGGAGTTCTTGGTTTTTGAACTTCAACTCGTTGATTTTATCGCGCTGTTCAGCTATCTTATTCTCCAATTCTTCTCGCTCCGGATCCTCTTCCACCGTCATGGTCAACCGAGACAGTCCACTACCCCGTGAGATGGGGCGGTCGTTAGCGCCGGACCGGGATGCAGACCGATCGAGAAGGCTATCGAGGGTCGAAGGTGCAGGCCCGCCACGTCTCTGGGCTAGCTTGAGGTCTTCGATCTCCTGATACAACCTCTCTTTTTCGCGATTTCGAGAGGTAAGCATCGACGTCTGGGCGCCCACCTCTCTGCGTAACTCAGCATTCTCATGCCGCAGCTTCTCACTCTCACGGCGGAGCTCCTCGACCAATGTTGACGACTGACTAAATGTGTTGCTCTGGTCGGCTTCGCCTGATAATCTGGAAAGTGGACGCGATCGTGAAGGTGAAGACTGTCTCGGCTTCCTCGTGATATTGTATATGTTGGTGGTATGCTGCATTGAGCCCCCACCCAATGGCACAGATCCATTAGTCTCTTGCCGTAATTGGAAGATCTCTTCTCGCAACGCCCGATTTTCCTCGTCCGCTTGTTCGCGTCGTGCCGTCTCTTGTTCTAATAGGTCTTTCCACACATCTGCTTCTTCCTGCCGCCCCAGGGCATCCCCTGCACGATCAGTAGCTCTGTCTCCCATCGTCTTGACTGTCTCAACTAGCTTCCTTTTCTCCATCTCGCCGGCCATATTATCCGATCGGAGTCGCTCAATCTCACGAACATATTCTTCAATTTGTTCGCGCATATGGATTAATTCCTCTTCGTGAGTCTGTGCACCCGATTCCGATGAGGGCGTGACTCGCCCCTCGGACGAGAAGCCACTTCGAGCGGTGCTGGGACGGTCTTCCTCGTCGCGAAGTCGCTTCTCAAGATCCTTGGCCCGGCGTCTTAGTACTTTATTGTCCCTTTGAAGGACGGCCAACGTGGTCCTCAACTCGACGTTCTCCGAGATCATCTCCTTAATACCTTCTTCAGAGAGTTTATCAAGGCGGTCCGAAAGGAACATGACTTTGAGCTTGAGATCAAAGTTTTCTTTGGAAAGCCGGTCAATGGTGCTTGACTGCTCTTTTAACGTCATGCTCCTCCCATTGCGTGTAGAGGTGTTGGGTGCTGACGTAAAATCGGAGGGTTTGGGGTAAGGATTTAGCGGTGTCGACAAACCACCCTTGTTTTGGTATTCCTGGGCCAAAGACTCGGGTACTTCGACATTGCGGACATGACGTGCAATGGCGGTGTCAGTGGGGGGCTTAAGAGGGCCTCTATTGGCCTTAGGAGTAACCAGGGCATCCGCCGCATGTTCACGTATGGGGCTATCCACTTCTTGGAGGGGCTCAAGCGGACCTTGACGTATGGAGTCAAGACTGTCATCCATGCCCGAGGCCATACTGCCTATACTAATAGAACGAGAGAGTTCGCGGCTGGCGCTGGGAGTTAGACCAAAAGCCGGCGCGGCTCCTCCTGAATGTAGAGCGTAATCGGCGCCCATGCCAACGGTCACGTCGCTTTCCACATCGTCACTACTAGTGAGGAAAGAAGAAGATGAGCGGTGGCTGCCGGTTCGACTGTGGAGATACCTGGGACGTTGAGAGTTCCTCGATGCATTGCCCAAGGCAGCTCCAGCATCGGTAGACACTGCGCTCGCGGTAATTTCTGAGTTGCTGTAGTCCGGGTTGGGGGCATGGGCCAAAGTGGCACCATCATCGGTGTCGCGGGTATCTTCCATATTTGAGCTATCTTGGGCAAGTAGCGCGCCCTCTCCATGCTCTCCTGAGAGTTCGTGAGCCGTAGAATTAGCGGCGGCAGAGGCAGCCCTGGACACGGCACGAGCGGCGGCGGCGGTCGTGGGGGAGGATAAGTTCTCAAGAGCAAGAGTGGCGTCAGTGGCGTGGCTATCGTCGGCGAAGGTACAGTCAGACTGCGAATCGGGTAACGGGGAGATTTCTGGATGGGCTGAGTGTACGGAAACGGTCGGGATCGGGTCTGGTGTGGCGTGAGCAGTAGAGGGAGTATGTCTGGCTGCGGGCGTAGGCGTGGCCGTGAGGGATTCGCGACCTGACTGTTGGTTGGTGTCTGACACGTCGGGCGTTTTCAGTACGGAAACAGCCTCAGCCTGCGAGTTGGGCTGTTGGCTTTGCTGTTTGTCGTTTTCTTCTTCTTTGTCCACCGTATCTCCGTCGTCTTGCGCCTGTTGTCTCGGGGATTGTTTCCGAGAAGTGATATCGAACAGGTATGTGTCGTCTACACCGGCATCGGGGCCGGTGACCTGGATAGTGGGAGAGGTGGGGGGAAGGAAGCTCGACTCGACGTCCAGCAGGTGAGCGCGAACATGCTGCTCCTCTGTTATGGAATCAACGTGGTGCTCGTCATCGGGCTCGAGCCTGGTGGTCTCGACGAAGCTGCTGTTGTCATTGAAAGGGGGGTTACGTTGTGGCTGCTGAGGATGCAGCCAATCCTGCTTCGGCTCGGCTCCATGCTGGCCAAGGCCGGGGCTGTCGTCTTCTCCCATGGCAAGGTAACATGCGCGACTGGTTGAGGTCTCAGGTTCCTCGAATGATGTTCGAAGGCCTCGAGGAGTCGGAAGAAAACCCAACGCACGACCGCACGACTACTGCATGTAAAAAGCTACAGGGGTTATAAATGCATGCGTCTTGTGTCTTGTGGGCACAGCTATGCCAGTCGATAAGAGGCGAGGTAAGATAATGTGGTGGTGTACATACGAGTATATCACCGGGCACGCGTGAAGTACCTACGCCGAGTACGTAACGTAGATGTAGATGTAGATGTAGATGTTGGTGGTCGAGAGAGAGAGAAGAGTGCGATGATGCGGAGTTTGTTGTTTTCGATGGGAATTTGGCCCGTCTGGTACGGAAGACTTCAACGGCGCACGCGATATGCATTCCGACCAAAGTACCGAATACATACATATCGGGAATTGTTGTACCCACATACGTGCTAGCGTACGTCTAAATTACATGAATTAGTGTGGTTAGTGGTAATAGACTAGCGTGGCTAGCGAAGAATTAGGTACATTAGTGTAATTGCTCTCCTGGCGCGTCAAATTGCCCCGCAGTCCGAGCATCTAGATAGATATATGTATGTACCTAGGTATAAGGTACAGAATGAGAGCCGACCGCCATGTATTTAACACGGATCATGCACTTAGTCAAGCCCTCCACACTAACGAAGCGTGCAGAACAGATTTCTGTCTCGTACCGGTTGTCGTCGCCCGATGCTATGTCACCATACTGCCGACTCCCGAGATCACTTATCAAGGTAAATAAATTCTCGAAATTCAAATGACCTAGGTTAGGCGAAGTCGATCTGGAACAGGCAGTTACAATCCCCCTTAACTCGCACGTTTCCCGGTAATGTCGTGTAGGTATCAATACATCAGAGCGTACGGGCATGAAGTAGGTACCTACCTACCTACATTCTCCTGAGTGCAACCCTACGCCCAAGTACGGCATCAGCGTGTCCAACAGGAATGGCAGCTCAAAGCGTCCGTACCGGGTTGGCCAGCACCATACTGTTGCCAATACGACCATCATTATATATTGCGTGCATAAAGCGCCGAGTAAGTTCCTGCCTGAATACATAGTACACGCACAGTTTGCCTCCTGATTCCAGAAGAGACTGGAAGGCATGTATGATGTGCTTGTTTGTGTAAAGTCGTACGGAATGTACCTAATGGGCGCCGGGGACTCGTGACGTTTAGCTCAACTGCCCCTCCCACACTTGAGTCATTAATTGGACCCGACGCAGTATCTCGATTGGTCTAGTGGCTAGGATACCTGCTTGTCATCGTTTGACAAGCCGCAGGTGGCCGGGGTTCGATTCCCCGATCGAGAGACTTCTTTTCTTTTTCCCATTCTTTCGGAGGGTTTGGAGGGTTTGGGTATTTTGATTTTTTTTATTACGGGGATTGTATCATTGTATCGCGTACGTATCTGACAATTTTCTCAGGAGCCCAAAACCCTCCTTCTCATTCTGATTCAGACAGGCGGGAATCTGGGCGGGTTTTGCGTATCGAGTGCGCATTTATAGTGTAAAAGGATCAAGAAGCTTCCGCGTTCAATTCATGTAGGTAGGGCCGGCCATGGAATCTTGTGAGATTCAGTATTCTTTAACGATATATATATGATTGACCGGTTACTCTTCAGTGTCAATCATGCCCGACAATCCACGCCCACCCTAGACCTCAGGTGTGCTTGTCGATATCTCTCGCTCATCTTGCTCTGGTACAGACACAGACACAGTCTAAACAGCCAACCACTCATGATTAACTCCGAAAGTGCCTTCTCCCCATTACCCCTCGATAAAATTATTCAATCGATCAACTTAGTTGGAAACTTTATCGGGCACTTTCTTGCTAGTCACGGGAGATGGATAAATTAGTTTCTCTCTAACCAAAGGGCGGATGGGGAAAGGAGTTGAGATTGTCTAAAATGGAGGGAAAAGGGGATCTAGCTTACCCAGTTGCCTTCTCAAGAGTCTCCCGTCCCTTGTCGGTGATCTTCTCGAGTTGAGTTCGGTTGAGTTTGTCACCGAGGTACTTCTTGTTCACGAACTCGGCGCCTGTCTGCTGTTAGCACTTTTGGGCTCGATATCCATGAATGGTAGGTATGATTGTATGATTTGCAGATGCGACTGAATGTATGTGGAAAGAGATTCCTATTTCTATCTTACCCTTGTCACCATAATCGTCTTTCTGACCGCCAGCAACAGGAGCATTGACGCCGGAGCCGGCGGGTTGCTGTGTGTTTCCGGCCTTGTTGCCGCCGGCGAGGTTCTTGAGAGCGTCCATGTTGTTATGATAGGTTTGAATTCGTTGTACTAGTAGTCGTGGTTTCTGCAGACAGAATGAGAACTGATAGGGATATCGTAAGAATATCTTGGAAATATATCTTGAGAATCTTAGGATGGGGATTGATGATAAAGAAGATGAACTGATGTTGAGTGAGACAACTCATTTGTACTCTTGCTTTCCCCTCTTTCGTGAATCGGTGACGACGATACTGTTGTCTGTGTACATGACGTCGTTTCCTTGTCCGACAAAGCACACGTTCGATTTGGTTACTGAGCCCCGGCAGTTCCTGCTAAGTAGGCCCCGAAGAAGCTTCAGCCTTCAGGGTTCAGGGTTTGGCTTTTTTACCTGTTGCCGTTTGCAGGGTTGAAAGACATTGAAAGTTTAGGCATGAAATGAGCTACCTATGGACCATGGAAGGCGAGGCAAATTGCCTACCTAGGTAGATAGACTTTATCATTGCTCGGCCATGCATGCATGCCTAGGTAATGCATCAACAAAGTCACGTCATGGCTAGACGATTCGAAGTTTGCTCCTGGGCCGTACCTTAATAGCTAATTACACTCAGGCACTCATTTCATAAATGATTTTGAAGATGCCACTGTTGTAAATGTCGACGGCGTTAAGTGGTTGATATGCGACTCCTGATGATAATGATACATGATCTAGGTATGCTACGGCTCGAGTTCGACGGGACCCAAGCCCGCGTTGCATGCGTAGGATAATTAGTCAAAAAATAGCAAGGGTATGAAGCGCGGTTGTTGGTATCGGGGTCTTGAAAGAACAACGGTATAACGAAGCTCTCACCACTCAAAACTAACACGGCTTCCCCTTTCCCCGCGGCGTCCAGTCTCGGGAGAATAGGTAAGCTTTAGACACCTGAACGCCGTTACCCTGATGATACACCATCCATGCTGTTTTTCCATGGACATGTGCGGGTGATCCCGCCGCGTGATGATGATAATGATAAACGGTAATGATGAGGATATGGTGCGCTTGTCTCCTCATGATTTTAGATCTTCAACCCATCCCATTTTATTCCTGCGATCGTCCGAGACGCGCGCATACTCAAGGAGTAATCGGAGTGTGTAAATTTGCATGTCTTCTTTCCTGAGTACCCTCTCCGCCCAAGCTTTGCCATCCATGGCGATCTTTTGGGCAGCGCGGTCATGGCCTGGTCTGGTCTTGCCATATCCTAAGAAGTACTCCATGATACCGTAATAATCGCCGAAGCGATTGTCCATGGGCACGAAATGCTTCCAAGCGATCAGGCGGCTATCATGCCATTCGTGCCAGAGAGTGCTCTTGATCGGCAATCCAGTACTTCGAAGAAATGCGAGATACCGACCAGAGAAGGAGTTGCCGTCGACGTCGGGTAGGTACTTGTAACCGAACTGATATGTCATATCCTCGCCTGGAACCACTTCAAAATGCTCGTTCGTATAGCAAGGATCACCATCGTTCAACTTGTAGCTGGGATCACACATGAGGTCGGTGAAGCCCACGTCGGCCCATTCAGACACCCAGTCGCCTAAGCGCTTCTCGCGGCTCGCCATGATATCATACGCAGCGGCGGGCAACTCGAAGTTGGCGGGCGGCTCGATTTCAGATTCAGCGAGTGCCAGTTTCGTCCCGTTATTCATGGCTACAAAGCGGTGCCGCTGAAAGCCGCGCCAAGTCGATTCCTGGTTCAATCCTCCCGTGGCGACTCCGCGCCAGGTGAGCGACCCGATCTTGTCTTCCCACATGGGCCCAAAATCACCGTCGCCCATGAATCTTTCTTCCTCGCTCCAGTACATTGGCGCAGGTAGGAGGATCTCGTTGTTTGTAGCTAGCTTACTTCCTCCAAAAAGGGGGTATAGAATTCGGGTGGCACGCGTGGATAGCGGATGGATGAATATTCCCTCAAGGGCTTGCAGGTCGGGTTGGTGGCAGAATTCGGTCGAGAGCGAAAAGTTAGACACGTAACCCTGGAACTGATGTGGTGCGGCCCACTGAGGCGAGAAGACGGGCTTGTCGTAAGATTTTACCACACCGGACTTCCGGGCCGGGCTGTCTGGGGGACAGCCACGGCGTGCTATCAACCAGAAGGGAGCTATCAAGAGTTAGCAGATTCTCTCCAAGCACACACGCCATGCGCACCACCTGAGGGTCGTCTCACTCGTCTCATCCCATTGTTTGTCTCGGGTCGCAGGCTTCTTATCTGTTCCGGGGGGAGGTAAATGCTGGAAGGTGGATATGACCTCTTCCACGGGCACCAGCTTACGGGTACGCTGGGCCTTTTTCATATACGTCGCGATCTCTTCCCAGGGAACGACCAACCGCGGCTCATCCATGGCGTTGAGGGCAATATCCATATCTGGTAAAAGATGCTCAATCGTCTTGATCATCTTCAACCAGAGTTGTGTCCAGAACCAATCACTCCCGGCAGTCGCCACGTTGTCACGAATGTTGATGGTCATCTCGAAGTCCCAGGCTTCCTTGCGAATTACACGCGGGTCGAGGCCCCAGAAGGGGTTTATGTCGTGATAAATGCGATCAAAGAAATCTTCGACTATGATGGCACCATTTTCCTGGGCGAAGCTGAACCACTTGTCAAAGCCGGGGGGCGGGTGCCTACCGCGGCGCACCCGATAGGCCTCGGCGGCCTGGGAAAGAGTAGTGGACTCTTTGGCGAGAACGGCCTTGAAGTCCTTCTCGGCGGTGCGGATTAGGTCGTCGATAGGGTGGTGACGCGGGAAATCGCTAGACGGTTTATCGCCGTGCGCATTGCCAGGCTCGTGGTCCGATGTGCTGTCGCCTCCAGGGGTTTCACCCTGACGGTATCCTGTTCCCTTTTCCTCTTTGCTATCCATACTCTCCTGCGGAATTAGTCTGTCCGACGGCTGTTCAGGCGAGGGCGGCTTCGATGGATTTTGTACCGCGACTTGCTCGGCGACACTGGGGAGGTCGGAAATGGCGCCGTTGAGATTGTGAACGGACGAGCTGTCGGAATCATCCCAGATGTAATAGAGAATGCATAACACGAAGACGAGGGCAATAATGTAGCGCACGACATGGGACGGCCGCCGTCGCGGAAACGCGGGCAGCCGCATGATGAAGACGGCGCAATATCACGAGCGCTGGGCTTTGAGACTTGCGAAGTCGAGAGTGAGAGCGAGAGCGCTTGGCCGGTTGTTGGGTTCGAGCTGACAGACACGCATACGCAGGCCGTGAAGCGTACAGGGGCATGGATGGATGGTGAGTATATCAAGCTCAAGACTAGGAGGATCGAGTAAAAGGTATCTAGGTATGGCTCATGTTACTGGTGACGTGGTGTCATTACTCGCCGACCCTAGCGGCGGCACGAAGATCGACACGGAACGAGTCAGCAAACGGGGGCAATCGCGGAGACGACTATGGTGAGCATGGTACGGGATCCATGGGGGGCAAGTGGACCGAGTAAGGGCGTTGCTCCCTATTGCTCCCTACTATACTAGGTAGGTAGGATCCGAGTGAACTGTGATCTGGCTTGATCGATCCCGTTCGTGGCACCCGGAGTCATGTAGGTAGTCGCAAATAAAATGAATTGACGCGGGTCGCATCAAACGCGATGACAAGTGGTTAGTTAACCAGATGGGACGGATTTGGCTGCCCCACGAAGTCTGCCATCCGTAAATTAGTACGGAAGTACGGACGTAACGTTAGCCATTGACAACTACTTAGATACGTATTCGTAGGTAAGTAATGTACGGGAATATCGCAATACGGAACATGCCTTTCCTTTTCAACCGGTCCAAGATGAAGTCGTTGGCTGATTGGACAGTCGGAGGTATCTAGATACTCCGTGCCTATTTCCAGGCTTGTCCTGTAAAAATTCGAGCGCTGATTTGCGCAGTGTCCCTTCCAGGTAGTTACCTACCTACTGCACCTACCTGGGTAAGGTATTTAGGTTGTTTGCGCAGTACCCAGGCAGAACCCGGGTCTTGCCCGGGCCACTACGGGCCGCTACGGGCCGCCAATAGACTATGGTAACCTATAACTAGGTATACAAACATCATGTGGA